TCGTTGGAGTTTCTCTCGTGTATTTGTATTTCCACTTCTACTACTCCTTATCGGTTTTCAGGATTCCCTCGAGTCCTTTGGTGTGCCTAGTGATCTGTGGACGGCCCATAGAGACATCTCTACCGACGTGTTAGCTAACTGTGTTCGGATTACGCAGCTGCGCGCGCGGACTCTTTTGAAGAGCCGATCGAGACAGCATAGGAGCATCCCTAAGCTCATCCCGGAGTATAACTTCATGCAAACTCAAGTGGGAGGGTTTCTATCGGTGTGGAGCGATGCGGAAAGCTTTCCTCATTTTCCAGGGATTGGGAATGGACGAAATGCTCGAGATCAACTACGGCAAGCGATTAGGATTCAAGAAACCGATGTGGACGTGGGTGACCGATCAAGCTATAAGCCTGATGCAGATAGAGTTGCAGCTTACCTTTGAACTGGGCCTAGCAGACAACGAAGAGATGCCTATGCTGTTGTGGTTTGAGGACTATCTAATTGGTGTTAGGGTAATGATGGAAGGATGCGGTTCTTTATGATGTTCTGGTCGTTTAGATCGAATCGTGGTAGATTAGGTCGGCCGTCTTATGTAGTATCTTGATAGATTAGTTCGACCTTATGTAGTATCGTGGTAGATTAGCTCGACCGCCTTATGTAGTATCATGATAGATTAGGTCGACCGCCTTATGTAGTATCATGATAGATTAGTTCAACCTTATGTAGTATCGTGATAGACTAGGTCGACCGCCTTATGTAGTATGTTGATAGATTAGGTCGCCCTTATGTAGTATCGTCATGTATGATGGTCGTTGTCAGTTATATGCCTTGCGAGAGATGCTCAACGCATTGGACCTAGCATCGAAGCCACGACATCTCCGTAGAAGCGAGCGTAAGAATAGGCAGCTTCCTCCCCCAGAGCCTACTAACGACATGGCCCTATTGCAGGCCAGGATGGAGATCATTCAGGGTAATATACGATGGAGGGTTACCGTCTCGTCATGGCTAGGGAAGGAATAGTTGAGATATGTTGGAATAGATGAGCAGAAACCAACCGAATGGCGAGTTATGGTATGAAAAGCTCTCTAGTATTCGCGGGAATTCGAAGGCTATATTATGAGCTTCTCGAATGCTTGTGAAATTTCGATGTAGAAGTACGTGATGAATGGGTCGCTGAGTGGTTTTGGCGAATAGAATACTTGCACTACGTAATTTAGTGATAGAATGTGTCTGGATGATAGCTAAGGAGTGGCGTTGTCGGGGTGTATATGGTTTGGTAGGTTCATTCCGTATGATGCTGGCGTTGCAGTATATTGGGCTTATGAATGCCCCGACTGAAGCTGTGGCCAAGTCGATCGCGTCGCGGTTCGCTGTGAGGATACAGACTATGCTTTCTAGGTAGGTTGCGGGAGGGCTGATTGAGAGGCTGGAGGGGAGCCTCCCCTGGGGAGGGCAATTTTGTGGCGCGCGGTCATTGTGCGGAGTCTTTATCGAGACCCGTTGTGCGGTAGAGTTGAGGTCTTTGCTTCTCGGAGGGGATCGGTTGAACTCGGAATGGTTTTGTTGTTGGGTGTAGTGCTTGCCGTCTCGTTCGTTGCCGGTTATCTTGGGGCGATTTTATCACGTTTTCGGAATTTTTCACCCGTTTTTTGTCTCAGTTACCGTCTCCCGCACGAGCTCACCTTTGCGGACTTCCTCCAGTCGACAGCGATGGCGGTCACTGGACAGGACCAATCTGATGCCAACTTGGGTGAGTGGGCCCTGTGATATCCTATTTGGAATCTTACTACCTTGAATGTAGACGCAGGAACTGGACGGGTGGTTTTCCGTTCGTCTTGATGAGTTCCATTGAGTTCACAACAATATTCGATCACCCAGTGACCCTGACGATTGCGTCGCTTCGCTAAGATTTTCGATTCTATTCAGGTCTGCAACGTGTGGTGCTGAACAGTATCAAGTCGCTGAACGGAACAGGATTCTACTTGGAGCAAGTTGGGAAGCGGTCGAAAGCTGATGCTCGTACCAGGAGGGATGTTCAGCAGATGAGGAGGGTCATACTTTCGAATATCCTGGTACTCAGACAGCTGGCCACTGGTGAGCAGGGGAGTATTCATAAACCTATAATGTTCCCGGGAGGAGGAACTCATTTTGAATTTTCCACGTATGGCTAGGAACACATTGTTCAATCAGTTTCCCACATTAGGAACATTTTTCTCTCTGTGATTAGACTCTAATGCGACTTCTCAAAGGTGAATGAACCTCTGCTGGTGAGGTACGTTTTGATGTTGTTCTGACTTAGGATGATTGCAATTATTGACAGTATCGGAAATGGCGTCGTGTATAGGGAAGGGGAATGGTTTGGTTCTCAACGGTTGCCGTGTGTGTGTGTGGTCGATTGTGTTGGTTCCTACTTGAGTAAACGTCGAGTCTTGCGAGGGGGTAGTTTTGTGGCGCGCGAAAGAGATTTAGGCTTGTTGTTGTTGTTCAGGTTCTATCGATCAAGAGAGCACTACAGCTTGTGCTAACTTGAAGTATCATCCCAACCTGATTACGGTGGTGTTGGGTAAGAAGACTGGGCAGCAGTGATCTTCGGCGATACTTGGCGGTGCGGATGTTACATTCAGCAGCTCTTTATAGTGTTGTTTCTACTTGTTCGTTTCGTTCTGGACTGTTGTGTTCACCAACTTGTCGTCGCAGCTTTGGATCAGTTGACTTAACCATTTTGTTTGTATATGCCAAGTGATCTGAGATTCTCGAATGAAGTTCCGGTGGCAGATGCAGACGCGAACGGTGGGGAAGGTTCATCGCGAGGCCGGGGATCAACACAAGGGGAGAGGAGGATGACGGTTGGGAGTGGGTCTTCTCCGTTGGTGCAAGTCGACGAATATCCAGCACCGTCGTTATTCTCAGCTGCATCAAATTTGATTCCCGAGCAAAATGCTGAGTAAGTCGGAGGTTGTAGTGGTGTAGTAGGTTAGTATGTTGGTCTCTCGCTCGTACGACCCAGGTTCGATCCTTTGTCATTCCATTTCAGTATATATGCTTTGTCTTCTAACACTGTGGACAGCAGCTCGTATAGTCCAACAACAGGCTCTGCTCCCAGCCATCCATCACCAACGCAGCACCTCCTCCTCCAACATGCTATGGGACTCACAGTGGATATCCTGGTCACCTACGGAGTGTCATCCGCGGGTAATAAACGGGCGTTTTGGATGGGGTTAAAACAACCATATGATCGCGCTCATTCGTTCTATCCTATCTATTACTGTTGTTCATTTTGTAGGAATCGACCTTTTGAGAAGCCACGGTCTAGTGACAGTGTCCGATCTCGCCGCGTTGGACACCCGTTCCTTGGCTCAACAAGGGTAATAATAATTGCTCGTCGGATTAGTTAGCGCTCGCCCCGGTGATCGATTCATACTGTTCGACGTGATCAGATTCACTAGAGCAGATGTGGATACTCTCACACGCTTAGCTGTTGAGGTCGGGCAGGAAAGCACGAATGAGAGACTCGGGCAAATGCAGGAGGAGTTGAGAAACGGGAACGGCATTGGAGGTTGGACGTGGGTTTCGGGAAGCTGTAGATTAATAACAAAAATTACAGTTAAGGTTGCTAGGGAGGCATCATCATCAAGAACAAAAAAAATAATGTGGACGCCGCGAAAAAAAATTCTCGAAAAATTTTTCCCTTAGTTCGGTAAGGTACACGTAGTTGTTGAACTGGTAAGATCGAGGCCGTGAAGATGTGTCGAGAAATGTTCGGAGCAGTGGTGCGAAATATGTACTCGCTTTCCTCAGCTGAGCTCAATAGTTTCCTCACTAGGAGTTCATATACGAATCGAGAAAAAATACGAGAAGTGGACAGAAAATAACAGAAATTCTCCAAAATTTCCCCAGAGTTTAGATATTATCACCAACACTTGTGGTTGATCATGTGCAAATTTTACCACACTGGTGACGGGTGGGAGGGGGGACGGAGGGTTTCCGTTTCAGTGGTCTTGTTTGAATCTTTCGATTTACGTCATTGCCTAGTGAGTTTGAGTTTATACGTCTGTATTTGCATAGTATTTGCATTCGGTTGATGGAAATTCTCACGGCTGAAGAAAATAGTTTTTGAATTTTTTTTGTAATTTTCTCAGTAGTTTTCAGTTTTTTTTGGTGGGGGGGCCTCTGTACAGTTTATGAAACGATTCGCAGTGTTGTTACTTTTGAAAACTGTTCATTCACTTCGATGCTACTTGATCAGAGTAGTCGAATAGGATGTAATGGCAGAGTCCTCCGTACTGTGTGTATTGTCGTAGTGTGGAAAGTGGGGAAAATCGTCAGGAATCGGGACTTTGTCGCCCCTAGACCGATTTTGTTCTGAGTCTATGTCCTTTCCTCAGAGGACCATTTCCTACCAATCAAAAACACCTTCATAAACTTCCCCCCCTCGCAGTTGCCGTCATCGAAGAAGACACCCCAGAGTTGTCCTGTAGATATGGGCATGACCCCACCGAATGTAGTAAGGGGGAAGAGCATTCGAACTGGTCGAAGGCTCTATACAGCGGAGTTCCACCCGTTTAACGTGAAGTGGAGTAATACTCCATGTAAATTGTAGAACATGTATGTTTTCGCGACTGATAACACAATTGTTTTCTACGAAGTGAATTGTGGAATATGTTTTTCATATCATGGGTGAAAGTTCCCTATATCTGTTTTTCGTCGCTGACTCTATATTGTGGCAACATTTTCCTTGCTTTGTGTATGCACTGCTGTTCACCTGGCATACTCGTTTTGCTATCACATGATCCCTGTGTTGATCGTATGTTATGACCAAAAAATATATATCATGTTAGCTTGGTTGATGTTCTCTGATTTTTCCTTCCACCTCAGTCGCTCAATTCTAGCGTCGGTAAAGTGAATAGTCTCAGTCCAGTCGCGTCGTCTCACAGTCCCGACAGTTTCCCCATTAATTTGGATCCCTCTATTTATCCCAGCATAGGGTAAGTAGTAGGCCACTTGCAGCCACTTGCAATCTTGCATTTCCTCAACGGTATCTTACGATCAGATCAAGATTGCATGCTTCGGGGACTTGTAAACCGTGTGCATGGTTTTATCACGCGAGTGGATGCCGTCACGGAGCTCAGTGCGAGTTTTGTCATTTGTAACAATGAGCGTTTTTCCTGGGGTGATTTATTCCGCTTGGGAAATATTCGCTCGCCTGTTTTGAGAATAAAATGCGTGACAATATCCTTATTCTGAATTATTGACCTCGTTTTACAGGTGTCCGCCGGGTGAGATAAAGCGTCGTAAGAAGGAAAAGCTTCAAATCATCAAATTATTAAAGCAGACTGAATTACACCAACAGCAAGAACAACAACAAGATCAGCAACATGTCGGAGAACAACAACGACAAGACAGTTACATAGTGCCAGGCCGCTCATCAGCTTCACATCACCATCGTCATCATCATAATCATCACAATCGGCATAACGGCGATAGTGAGGAGAACTTTTCTCAAACTCTGGCGAGTTCGGCTTTTTACGGTAGAGGCTACTAGTCGTACAAGGCCGTTGGTGTAAATATCGAACGACTTGTGAATAGCCGCCGTTTTAGTTGCGGCGAGTCGTTGAACTGTAAATATCTTTTCTGGTGATAAGGTAGTAGTTTGATAAGTTCACGGAGAAGCGGGTCACTTTCTTGTATTTCTTGTATTACTATCGATACTATTACTATCGGGTTTGACAGGAAGTTGTATCAGCGTGGCCAGGTTGTGTTGGTGACTAATCGATAGGGGGTGTGGTTGTCGAATTGTGGAGAAAATGAGCTCTGTGTTGAGCGTGTCCTGGAGAAGACGAGATCTGTGTTGAGGGTGTTCTTGAGAAAAGGAGATGCACATGGTGTGTTCGTAAGCGCGGAGTTTGGAAATCGAGTTGTTGATGGTTATCGGGTCGAGTGAAGAGTCGAGGATGGAAGTGCTATTAGTCGCAGTTCGTAGCTATGAATTTCTATCAAGGTTATTCCTCGAAATTGATGCCATGTCCCGCTTGGATGCTTCGTTTAATGAAGGGTCTAATTCGCAATATTGAACTCCTTATTAGCAGCGCATTGCTGGAATGACTTGCTTACTCGCCAACCTGCATTTCATGTAAACTTGATTGTCGAATCAATGCCCCTTGTCATGTATGTGGAATTCTAGTTCGAACTGGAAGGCGTTGTCGTATAGATGTCTGAATGGTGTTGTTCTTATGGAGAGTGGGACGAGTTTTCATCCTAGGGGATGGCAAACCCTCTATGGGCCCGCTCGAAATGAAGGAAGGCAACTATGATGAAGTCATCTTGATTGAGATTGAACTGTAACCTTGAATTCGCAAGATTGTGTTGTGTTTGGCGATCGAGTGGATGCCACTTTATGAACACGATTTCAAAGAAGGTAGTTCGAAGATGTATACTTCGGTGTTGGTTGTACTCGAACCGGCTCAAATCTATATGTAGGGCACATGATTTACTAAGAGTCTCATGATGAATGCCCCAGGACCCCAGGGCGAGCGCGCTGAGATCTTTCGACAAACTATGCAGATGCGATATACCTAACATGTTGTCGAATAACCACGATATTTAGTTTTGTGTTACCCTACACGAAGCTTACACTCGGAGTCACTCCGAGTGTAGAGTGGTGCAAACACTGGACCGTGACGCGCTCGCCGGCGAGGCTGGTTACTCTGAGCAAAACCGTAGCATGTGTTCAACTCCTTATTTATGGATTTACTGTAACCACCTATATTGTGTTCAGTGATATGGAGGTTTGGGTGGTTGCCACTGGTTTATCAAACCCGTGGCGCTTATAAACTTTATCTCCTATATACAACATCCTAGTTATAACACCAGGTCAACCACGAAGGTCAATAAACTAGGGTGTTGTGAAACCACTCAAATGGAGATAATCTAGAAGCCCTCCATAAAACTTGGAGAGAAAAAAAGAAAAAAAATAAAACATTAGAGTTGAGTTTCCAGGAACACCACGAGGAGGTCTCTGAGCTCGTTCCCATCTAACAGTAAATCTCAATACATTCGTCCTTGAACTAGCCCCATAAATGGACCTTCATATCTCGTTTGATGTTGCTGCTGCTGGTCCTAATGGTTATTGTGATGCTTATTGACACTTTACTTCATCATCTATCAGTTGCTGGTGAGCGTGCTGGGTCATTTTGCCCACCCTTTGCCACCCGGTAGTTTCTGATTGTCTGCATCTTGACTTGCAATCCTCAACTGTGTGAGGATGGACACAGATGAAGTCGACAGGGCGGGACGAGTTGAGTTAGAGTTTTGGGTGGGAAGCTGCGATTGGGCCTGTGTTAGCGCGACTGACACAATGCAAGACTACACCCGTTCACAAATTCGAGCGAGGGTTGCTGTTAGGTGAGGTCCCCCGGGCCTGGAGATTTCCATCAAATTCTTCGGCTAACACGTTTCTCAGCAGCAACGGATCCCACTCTTAGCCGCCGATCCTTCCTAAAAACGTTCCGGCTGGGTCGCCCGTATTCCGATTATCTGAACTGATCCCCTGTAAAATTCTCGCACCGTTTCGCCTGGCATAGTAAACACAACAGCTACTTAGTTTAGAACAGTGCAGAGTTTTCAGTCACTCAGTTGAGTGGTGTCCTTCTACGAGGGAGTTGGGTGAGACCGCGCCTGGCAGTGCATTAGCATCTGAAGGCAACGAGCTGGTGGCTTGGGTAGCTCGACTACAACGCCTCTTTGGGCTAGCCGCTACCAGCCTCCCCCGTAGGAAGGT